CTGTAAAGATTTACTGCAGATCAGGCATCTCCATTTGCAACTTCAAGGTGTAAAAATTACCAAAGAGAGATTACGGGCCTAATCTAATTGCAGTTAGTAGCTGAAGCCGCAAGAATCCTATTCGGATGTAGTGGTGAGACTGTTGCAAGCAACATGCGTGTTGCACTATCAATTTGTGCTACACGCATACGCATTTTTCACTCTGCCACTGTGACGCATTTATCTTGAAGAAAAATTCGCTATTGCCATTGATTTAGAAGGAGGCGTATTCAAAAATGCAAACTGTTAAACGCCCAAAACATGTAAATAAATTAGAAATTGCGCTAATCATTAAGTGGCAAGCGATGAAAAATTTTGCTAGCAATCTAAGTGCGAAAAAATGTATTTTAGCACTTTGTAGGTATGTACATATATAAACATGTGTGAGTGTACAAAAGAGGTCGTGCTGTGGAGGCGGCGATAGAGGGAATGCAATTGGTGCCAAGGCAGTGTGTGCAAATGTAAAAAGTGCACTAAAATACATACACATATATGTACATATACGCAAATTGGTAAAGGATACAATTAGAGAGATAAGTATTTGCTCTTTGCCTGGTAAGAGTACCGCTGTAATGTTTTCACCGAATAAGCAGCGCGTGGGAAGGCCTTCGATAATCAGTCTAGTCTTGGATAGGGCGCCGGTCTTTTCAGCAATTATGGCCCTGCAAATGTCAAAGCAGGGAATTTCAAAGCACTCACTAAGCATTAAAAACAACAAGCACTTTTTAGCAAAAAAAACCCGACTTCAAAAAAATTTATATATACATATATATGTATATATATATATTTTATGATCCAATGATATAAACCAGATTAGTATGCGACGACCTCAAGTGGTAGCCTCTGCAAACGAGATCGAAGTTGGAGGAAAAGTGTTCTCCCAGGAACTCTCCGTTAACCTTAAGATGGTGCAGCGTATTTCAAGCGATGGTGGCCGACATAAAGAAGGCAGTACCCTGGCTACGTACCAGTGAAGTACCGATTAGAAAGGTAAATATCTAATCTGACAGCCAAGCGGCAATCAGCGGTCAGCGGTCGCTTACAATATGCCCGAAACTAGTCGAGAAAGCCTTCTTATTGCTTTCAAATCATTGGATATGCAGGTCACAGGTCACAGGTCATGTCAACTCTTCTAATCGAGATGGATTTTAAAATCGGCTAAGCGAGGTAGTTTTGTCGCGAAGGATGAGGGGGGATTCTCCAGCCGGCTTAGCACCAACTCTGAGTTCTAATAGAAGTCCAGTATGGAGGATTTCGATGTGGTATCGTCTTAGCAATTCCTTCTAAACTGCTCTGCTAAGCGAAGTGGGGGAAGAGTTAATTTGTTTGTGTCCCCATTGCATTTTTTTTGGGTTTTAGGGAACCTGAAAAAATTGTTAGTATTAAAAAATGGTTAAATAAACGGTTGAATATTATTATTAACAGTCTCCAGAAGATAAACCAAGTCTTCCGATCGAGAAAGAATTATTTTCAAGAATTCTACACCATTTCTACGAAAAATTGTTTTCCCCGTATAAAATACATGAAAAACTTTGAGTGCTTTGGCGACCCCAAAATATTTTTTGATTTCCAAAAAAAAAACATAGGATATAATTTTTTTGGTATAAACAATCCTAGAGCGCGAGAGCAATAAAAATCCGGCTTTACTTATTTCGCACCACCCTAGTACCCACTCAACCCTTAGGTACTACAGCTCCATATGGCGTCAGCTAGTTCAAACCCAAGAGCATAATGAACAGAGTGGTTTGGAAGATTGCCAGTTTTCCTTGAAGAAAAAACTTACACAAGAGATAGACATATACATACATTTCACCTCCTAGCGGTACTCTAGCTTTTCAAAACTTTCTATTAAGGAGCAGAGGACTCTTAACCGGAGTTTAGAAAGTATCTTATCGATATTTGTTTCCATCTAAATACATATGTATCTAAAAAAATTGCATATTTCATTTAATGATCTTTCTCCTTTTGAAACTGAGGTTGTTTCTTAACACCCCCGTTTACCTCACAATGGCACGCTTAGCAGCATTTATAAGACTTTTTATTGCTTGTGACTAATTATTATGGCGCAGTTTAAAAATCGTAAAATCTTAGTCAAAAATAAAGTGCCATATGATTAACTTAAAAGAATGTAATTTACTCAAAATCAAAAAAAAAATTACCAGCGAACATTTTCGCATTTGAAATCAAATGTTGGACAAAGACTGTAATTATACCAAACCGGTTGCATACTTACATTCGTGTGGATGTAACTTATCGCGCGTGTCAAAAAATAAAAAATAAAATGATATATAGATATAAAGATTGTAAAAATTCCACAAAAATGTCAATTAGCAGACGCAACTGTCGCATTACCGCAAATTTAAAGGAATGCGAAAAAGCGTAAAGCGAAAAATATTTGGAAGTCAGACACCGGAGATATGGGAACGTAGTTTTGGTGCAGTGGTAAGAGTGGAGAAGAATTTCTTCGAAATCAACCGCCAGGTATCAGGTATAAGCAATTCTTAAAAGCCATAAAACTTAACTTAAGTTTAAGATTTTCAGGTAAGGGCAGAGGAAGTAATAGCTTTTGTATGCATAACTATAAAGTATATAAATGTGATTTCTGTGAATATTTCAGCTAGTTCACAAAGAGGTGGAAGAAAATGATATCGACATGCGATGGAGAGATATCAATAAAGTTGACGAGCCACCATTTCGAAAACTTTTTGGTGGTTATAGAAATCAATTGTCCAAAAAGTTGGAGTATGAAGTGTATATATAAAAATTGGTGAAATAAGGGTGCAAAGGGTGGGTTAAGCTTAATTAACTTAGCGTCGTTTTCTTGGCTACCAGATAAATTTTTTCATCTCGTTAAATATCGTAATCGACGTTACCTACTGCCTTTATATGCATGTGAGCGGAAAACTTTACAGGCAGTCAAAGCACTGGTTAACTTTAACAGGCAATCGAGAAAACATCCCTTATTATAGAAAATTAAAGAACGCAAGTATAGACATTTATTTAATTATTTATTAGTTTATAATAAAGAAATGTAAGGTTTCGTAGATACCTTAGGTTAGGATAGGTTTACTGGCCAGATAATGCGCGGCTTTGCAAATACTATTAAAGTCCATAGCGTTACCAGAAAAACCAACACCACTTTGGGCAGCTAATCAGAAGCAATGTTGAAGAACATCGCAGTCCTTTTGGCAAGCTAGAACCTCTTGTTATGCCCTCTTGGCAGCGTCTCCCAGATTAGGTAGAAAACCTGGTCCCAGCAGACTAAACCAGATTATTAGGTAGATATTCAGCTTAGACTTAGACCAGTTGGGAACCTTATATTTCCTGGTAAAGGGTACCAGATGTTTCTTTTCTGTATTGATAGTAAGCCCCATTTTGATTTCCCAAAGATCTGTTTGCGAAACCTGCATAATTTCTGATCAAGCGTCCTTTGTAATCGCCGGACTGACCCCAGCAGACATTCTCACCCAAGAGAAAAGGAGAATATATAATTGCCTCTCTCAGACAACACCAACGCTGGTCTAACGCGAAATAAAATAGCTACAGAAGCAAAGAGCTATGCTATGGAAATCTGGCGGGGACGATGGGACGACTTAGAAGAAAGGCAGATGGGCACACAAGCTCAACCCCCACGTTGAAAAATGGCTGGATAGATCTCATGGAGATTCTAGTTTTACCTTAACCCAGTTTTTCTTGGCCCATGGTTTTTATCGCGAGTATCTCAATCGATTAAGGCATAGCGAATCCACGTACAGTTCGAGGTGCAAATGAAGAAGGGAAAATGAGGAACACATAATGTACAAGGTACATAGGAACGCTGGTTTGTGGAGAGGTGCTCGTACGTAGGTGCAGCTGTAAGCCTTATATGCCGTTATAGTAGTACTCATGAAAGTCTCCTTCGTCACGGCCGTCATCCCCGAAAAAAGGGTCGCGAGTCGTATGAAAAATTTGAGCGCTTCGTTCTGCGTTTCGAAACGTTTTTGCATCTTCGGATAGGCTCGTCAAAACGGTTTTTTTTGTCATTGAAACGGGGATTAGATGCGGGACGACGGTTCGGAGAAAAAGAGCTACATGATGCATACATTAATCCGTTGTTTGTTCCTTTTTAGTAGTGGGCCATTCCAGCGAAGACGACACCTCAAATAAAAACAATAAATCAGGCAGAATAATTCTTTAGGAATAGTTTGTTGTCGATTTAGTTTTCACTATTTTCACTATCTTACTCTATGCACTAATAATATACTGTAATATTTTTGCATCAAATTTTCAAGGCATTCTACTAAAGGTACTAAAGGTGACAATGCAAAAAATAATTATCCAAATAGAAAGAACAATTTATGAACTTTAAAATGGTGGCAAGTTATTGGAAGAATATATTTATGGTGAGAAGTTATAAGCTTTCAAAAAAATTTATATTGGATATCCCACCCGTCACAGCAAAATATGTATTTTTTTAACGTAGCATACAAATTATTAAGCTTCCCATTGTTCAAATACTAAATATATAATAAATATTCACATCAAGCTAGTAGCGTTCATTTTACTCACGAACTATTCGTTCTCAAGAGTGACTCGTCTCAACCGTCACAAAATGCTGTCGCAGCCGTTACAAGCTAAAATTGGTTTCATTTTTAATTTTAAAATATAATAATGCTATTAAAGCATAAAATGGTTCTTAACATTCTTCTGACTATGTACATTCAAGAAAGGCGCTATGAACGAAATATTTATAATTTGTACAAAATTGAAAAATTTCTGTGTAAATTATATAAGTAAATTTTATACTTTATCAGTTTCGTATTAAAATGACATCTGACTTCAAGTGTTAACAGTTTGACGCTTGTCAAATGAAAATAGTTAAGGAGAATTTACTAAAAGTTTGAGCAAAAATTAGTTAAAATGTCCCACCCGTCACTTTTTAACAATAATTATCACTTTACTTATATTTTATTGTTGTTACGTTTATGTGAATACTTTTATTTGTTTTCATACATATGTACATAAGTATATGTTCCTGCATAAATTCTGTTGCCTATTCAAGATTAAATTGCACTTGGAAGTTTTGTTTATTATAACCAACAACTCCCCCCGAAAAATAATCCTTGATACGGCCGTCAACATGATCGACAATTTTTCGAACTTGCGAATGTATTAAAGCACCTTGAATTTGATCGGGAATTCCCTGATGTTGTTGCTCTACTACTGATTTGTGTTGATGAGCGTGGTTAATGACTTGTGGAACGTGGTGGTGCACATGATTGATAGTATGTTCGAGTTTATTGGGAATCGCTGGCTGTTTTTGTTTCGAATCGACGGCCTTTTGCGGTTGTTTGGAAACACTTTGTTGTTGCTGCTTTTGTTTCACAGCCTCATTGATGACTTGTGGTATGTGTTGATGAACATGATCGACAATTTTTTCAACTTTCGAAGGAATTACTACACCTTGAACCTGATGAGGTACGCCCTGCTGCTGCTTTGGTACTTCTCGTTTTTGATGTTGAACATGACTGACCACTTGTGGAACGTGTTGTTGCACGTGATTGACGACCTCTTGTACTTTATCGGGTATGACTGGATGCGTTTGGCCTGCAGCGACACCACTTTGTTGCTGCTGTACTTGTTGCTTGTGTTGCTGCGCATGACTGATCACTTGTGGAATGTGTTGATGCACATGATTGACAACATGCTGCACCTTAGATGGTATCGCCGGCTGCTCCTGGTCCGAACCGACATTTTCCTGTAGTTGTTTGGAAACACCTTGTTGTTGCTGCTTTTGTTTCTGAACCTGTTTGATGACTTGCGGTATGTGTTGATGGACATGATCGACAATTTTTCGAACGTTCGAGGGTATCACAACACCTTGAATCTGATGGGGAATACCCTGAGGTTGCTGATGGGCTTGTTGATTGTGTTGCTGCGCATGACTGACCACTTGTGGAATGTGTTGATGCGCGTGATTGACAATTTGTTCGACCTTATTGGCAACTTGCGGTTGACTTTGTTTCGAATCGATGGCCTGCTGTGATTGTTTGTCAGCGCCTTGTTTTTGTTGCTGCTTTTTTGCCTCGTTAACCACTTGTGGAATGTGTTGATGGACATGATCCACAATTTTTTGAACTTGCGAGGGAATTACTACACCGTTGACCTCATGTGGTACTCCCTGAATCGGCTTTTGTTGTTTTTGCTCATCTTGCGCGACATGTCGCTTTTGATGTTGAACATGATTGATCACTTGTGGAATGTGTTGATGCACGTGATTGACGACTTGTTGCACTTCATCGGATATGACTGGTTGCGATTGGCCTAGAGCGATACCACTTTGTTGCTGCTGTACTTGTTGCTTATGTTGCTGTGCATGACTGATCACTTGTGGAATGTGTTCATGCACGTGATTTACGACTTGTTGCACTTTATCGGTTATGACTGGTTGCGATTGGCCTACAGCGGCACCACTTTGCTGCTGATGAGCAACATTTTGGTGCTGTTGTGCTTGACTGATCACTTGTGGAATGTGTTGATGCACATTATCGACAACATGTTGCACTTTAGCTGGAATTGCCGGCTGCTGTGATTGCTGTTGTTGTTGAAGTTTATCAACAATCTGCTGTAACTGTTGAGCTTGTTGGCTTAAATACTGAATCAATTGTGGAATGTGTTGATTTATATGCTGAACAATTTGCTGCACTTGTGGTGGCACTTCTGACGGCTTACTGTCGGAAATTGCAACACCCTGCATTCCCTGTACATTGTCAGCTTGTGAAACTTGTTGTTGTGCAAGTAAAAGCTGTGGTACATGTGGATCAATAGCCGATTTTTGAGCAGCCTCCTTTTGTTTTTGCTGCTGTATATGATGATTGATCACTTGTGGAATGTGTGAATGAACATGTTCTACAATATTTTGTACATGCGCAGGCGGCACCCCTATTGGTTGCGAAGGTACTTTATCACCATAAACTGCTGATTCAACTTGCTTTTGTTGAGACAAATGATGATTCAGAACCTGTGGAATGTGTTGATGGGCACTATCGACGATATGCTGTACACGGCTGGGCACCTCAAAGCCCTTATGCGGTATGGGCAAATGCTGCACAACACTGGTGATGGTGATTTTTGGCACGTTTGGCACGTGTTGGTGTGACAAGTGTTGTGTGTGGACATGATGTGGAACATGTTGAGCATGTTGATGACCATGCTGCTGACCTTGATGAGCATGTTGCTGGCCATGGTGTAGATATGGTGGCTGCGCTTGATGAACATGTGGCGGCCCATGCGAGTTCTGTTCATGAACTTGTAGTGGACTTGAAACCACCTGCTGTTCGTGCTGATGATGCGAAACATGTTGCTGACCCTGTAACATAAGTTGTTCAACATGTTGCTGAACCTCTTGTGCATGTTGATGGGCTTGTTGCCCGTAGTGGTACACATGATCGGGGTGCGCGAACGCCGAATACGTGCAAGCACTAGCAGTGAGTACTGGAATGGAAGGAATTATAAAAATTGTATGGAGAAATTAAAAAAAAAATTTGTTTCATAGAATTACAAAAAATATTTTTAAATAAAAAATTTTTATTTCCACAACATTTAGAAACAAATTTTAATAAAATGCTACATTCTCATTTTTGGACCAAATTTGTAATGTGGAAAATTTTAAAAGACAAGTTTCTGAATTAAAATGTCTTCACTTTGATTTTTCACTACAAACCAAGCACAAAGAAGCCCCTCATATTGTTCCGATAAAAAAATAGACTGGATGTTCTATAAATTGAGTCGTTCGAATGCTTTGCAGCGAACGTCCAAAGTCGTTCTGAACTTCAGAAAATCCACGCCGCGTGCTTTTTATACCTCAATATACCACTCGTTTGTACATTTATTCCTTTTTCATCCGCACCTGTGTACTTACACCTGCGGCCGTTATATGTACATATTTTCTTTGTCTGAAGTATAGCACCAATTTTTTATTTTTATTTTTTTACTAATTACATTACCATAACATTTTTTGAAGTCTAAATGTAAATTGTTCTGATGCTCTTTAACGCATTTCATGACCTTTTATTCATTTTGCATTGAACACAGTATAGGTATGGCACACATTTGAGAACTGCATAATTTTCTTGTTATCTGGTCGTTGCTGTGATAAAGTTGTTGTTATGTTTATTTATTTTTGAAATCATTTCCATATACATATGCAAATTTATCGACTTTGGGTACTTGCTGCTGTTAGCAACACGGAAATATTGCTAAACCCTTTCGATCAGACTTTTGGTGGATGAAAGTGCAAAAACAATGTTTGCATATTTGAAGTTGAAATAAAACCGATGAAACGAGAAAATCAAAAAAAAAAAACATTGTATCTCTCATTTGTAATGATCGTAATTGATGCTTTGAGCTGGGACATACATACATACTAGAGGGCTGCATGAATTCATTCAAAATGGCTTATGAATTATTCATATACAAAACGAATGAATGATTTTGGCTTCAATCTTTTTTTGAATTTGAGTGAATACCTGTTCTGACATAGTATGTAAGTGTCGACATAACAATATTCAGACAAAGTGAAAATAAATTGAATTGAAATAAAAGAAGTTTGAATGAATTCATGCAGCCCTCTAATACATACATATGAACATTAGACTGCATCACCAAAAAAAAATTTGCAATTTTTCCGCCGGGCTTACAAAATTTATTATATTTTAAGACGTCCACCAAAATATTTCGGAAAAATATTAAGATTTAAGCGAGCTGGGCCGATTTGAAAACACCTCCAAAAATGGCGTTTTTTTATGAATAAAAATAGTTTCTTAAAGAACTTTTTCTAAACAGCCCCTCGGATGACAAAACAGATTAGGATTAAAAAATTTGCATAAAGATATTTAAAAAGCTTTTCAACAGAATCGTAATAATGAGATATTCGATGCTATTGGTTTACCTTTTTCAAAGATTGATTTACGAAAAACTTAAATAACTGGGCCAAAACTTTTCTGATATAGACTTGTGGGATCTCGGTAGAAAGGTATTTTCCCACTATTTTTATTTATGTGCAAAAAAAGTCATTCGTGTCTCAATTTTTTCAAGTACCAACACATCTTAATTCAACTTTGAATGATGTTCGTTCATCCCACCTTTCTCTTTCATCCTTTGAATGAGCAAAGAAATAAAAAGGATGAGAAAATACCTTTCCAATGATATCTCACAAGTCTAAATCGGGAACGTTTAGGTTCAGTTATTCAAGTTTTTCTTACCAATCTTTGAAAAAAGTTAAAAAAAAACAGCATCAAAAATCTCATTATTACGATTCCGTTAAAACTTTTTTTTATTTTTTTTTTATTTTTATGCAAATTTTTTAAGCGTTTTGTCATTTGAGGGGATTTTCTAAAAACACATCTTTAAGAAACTATTTTTATTCATAAAACACTCTATTTTCGGAGGTATTTTCAAATCGGTCCAGCTCACGTGAATTTTAATATTTTTCCAAAATATTTTTGTGGAAAAAGAGTACCGTTTTTTTTCTGTATGAGGAGTGATGCAGTCTAATGTACATATATGTTCCAATAGAGTTTTATAGTGGAACGAATTTATCCCATTCTTATTTTTCACACATGTATGTATTAAAAAATTCCTGTAGTCATTAAAATTGGTATTTTATGTGCAAATTTCATAACGGTATTTTGCAGATGATGCAATAAACTTTTTAATTAGATCTAACCCTGTCAGGTCCAAAGGAAACATGTTTCCCAATAAGTTCTCCACTAATGAAGATATTGTATGAATTTTCATGATTTGGTTTTTATTTGTTTATAAATTTATCGTAAATTTTTTTTTTAAATATTTAAAAACAAAAATACCTACAAATAAAAAAAATATGTCCCCAATTAAAAACAAAAAAAAAATCCGGGATTTCGGGAAAAATACTTTTTAGAAAAAAATTATTTTTATCCAAATGATAACCATACCTAAGTTTCTAGCGAAAAATTAGATTATAATTCGATAGAAAGAATTAAAAAAATTATAATTACTATTAAAAAAAATATTTTTTTTTGTAAAAAGATAAATATTTTTTGAGAAGAAATAAAAATTAAAACATAACTTAATTTGAATACGTATCTACATACAGACATAGTATGTATGTAGCAATCTTTCCTCTTAACCCTTCGTCAGGAGCAGAGGAGGAGAAGTAAATAAATGTGCTAACTGTGCCACACAAATCAGTTGCGCCCGACGAAGGGTTAAGAAGGAAAATGAAGATTTCAAGGAATTGAGAAACAAATAATTAAATAATTAAGAATATGGAAAGAAAGTATTTTACCAGAAATTTTTATATCTAATCAAACAACACTAAAAAACTAAAACCTATATTTTGTTGGTATAAAAAGTGTTTTGAAAAAAATTAAATTTTTTTGTTAAAACAAAGATTTTAACGATAAAAAATTACAATCATATTTTTTCATTAAAGAAGCGATATTAGAGTTAATTTAATTTTGATTTCAATTATAATTTTAATTTAATAAAACTTTGATTAAAATTAATTAAAACCTATTACAAATTTTTGTTTGTGTGAGCAAATGACAAAATAAAACACATTTTGGTGTTGGTGTTCCCTTGTCAAATTTTGTTTGGTATTTTTTTTGTAGGTGAAATCATTTCGAATGAATGTTGTAAAGAATAATTTATGGAGAATAAATGTTTACCAAAATTAAAAAAAGAAAAACTTTCTGAATTTCCAACAAATTATTTTTTGACGAAAAATGCATTTTTGCAGAGAAACAATAAAAATGCCTAATTTTGGTTTAGATATTTCAGTATAGAATTAAAAAAAAAATGTTAGGACTAAAATTTATTATTTTAAACACAAATATAAGTGAAAACTTTTCAGGAAAAAAAGATTTATTTTACATTGAAATTTATTTCTTTTTTTTTGCGTTGACATTCCATTTTCTTTATTTAGCCCATGATGAATCAAAGCTTACAATTAAAATCATATTTTTTGAGATTAAGTTTATGGTCCTGTTAAGAGATCGACATGCTCTTGTGACAATAGTGTCCCTGTAATTCCTGTAATTTCGTGTAGCTGGAAAATACAGCCATTGATACAGCCTAGATGCACGAAAACCTCTTCTACTACTGATGCATTCAGGACAAAACACTACATGTAAGAGCCTTTGTTGCCACTGGCTATACAAAAAAATAGAAAATTCCTTTCCTGATTTTTTTTTTTTGAGCCGACAAATATTTTACAAGCCTCCTTAATGGGATACACTTGATCCTGAAAAACACGACGAATTTTGGAATTACAGAGGTTAGTCGAAAAATTAAAGTGCGCAATTGGTAAAGAAAAAGTTGTGGACTAGTCTAAGAAACGAAATGACTCTACTAAGGCGACTTTCTGTTTAAGAACATAATAGCTGTGAATGGTTACCAGAAAATTAAATTTCTGCACTAGTGCAGCTGAACAGCTGAACAGTGTAGTTGCCACTTAGCCCTGCCTATGTTATTAAGTTAGTCGTTCAACTGTTTTCGTGAAGCTCAACTAACGATTGGTCTAGAAAACGTGCTGTTTCGATGGGTAAGGACCAAAGAGAGCGAGGTGTTAATTGACTTGATTTAAGAAGGAGGTAGGGTTTAAATACACAGTCGGTTATTGTCTCATAGTAACGCAGGTCCGCCGACGCAGCTCAAGCAACAGGTGTTCGTTGAACGTCGTTGGTGAACTCCGTTAGTTATCTAATTCTGCAGCATCGGGCTCAATGTCTTTAGCCCTTCAGTTAATAAAGAGAGAAGGTTTTGCTTCCAACATGTGTGTGTTCTGCTATTCCCGTCGGTAGCAGCTGACCAGGAACTGCTTGCTTAGCCTCGCCTCTGGCGACATCGGACATCATCCCTTAGCTCTCCGGAGTGCTGTGCTGGAACACTTTATAGCTTCATTCACTCGTCCAGTACTCTCAGGTCTAGCTGCCGAATAATTGTTTAGAACCGGCTGGCCAGTTACTTTTTTGTAGCTAACAATTTGTCTTTTCACCGGGTGCTGCGGCCAAGATATTTGAGGACTTTGTTGCGACTCTGTACCATATTGGCAATTGTGGTTGGGTATGAGAAAAAGAGCAGGCTACCGGAGTTATTTTCTATGATCTTCGTATTGTTCACAGTCGGAATTGATGGGCTTTCGACATGAAGATGGCTGCCATCGATTTCATGTGGTATAGGCGTAGACTCCTTGCGGTGAAGAACCAAGTGAGGTCAATTCCAATTAAAGATCTTCTGAAGGGGTGAACTGTAGGAGAAATCAGTCCTGATCTCGTATTCTGATTCAGCAATCGTTGATATACACTCGTATACTTTTTCTTGTTTAGCAAAATGAAGTATGCAAATTTATGACCACCCATGTTGAATATCGAGCTTCAGTTTAAGAGTAGAAAGAACTTACCGCCACGCGTTAAACCTTTGTGCATTTAAAAATGAAGTATGTAGTATGTGTATATGCAGATTTTAAATAAGCGAATGCAGTCATCCAACACGAGTTATATCGAACTGCAATTGTTTTTAATTATCACCAATTTATAGCAATTCAACTGACCACAACTCATAAATTAAAGTGATGAAAACAAATTGAGTAAAGTGGTTAGTGGAATAAAAATACAAACATAAAAAGCGAAGAATAAAAATAAGAAAGATTAAATATAAGTGCAGCTTATTAAATTTATTTTTAATTTATGCAAATGTTATTCACTGCTTTCTTTATCTTTTACGAATTTGTGAATGCTGTGTGTGAATGAGTGCAGTA